ATATAGCTATATATATATATATACACACATATCGTATACATAATGATCAAGGCCCCTTTTCATTGCAGCATAAGGGGCCGGCGGCCTCTGTCGGAAGCGCCCCGGCCGTAGCGGTCTGAGGGCCCGGGGCTCCCAGCGGTGCAGGGCGAGCCGACGGCGCCACGAAGGCCTGGCGAAAAGGTTTGGGTTTTTTGTTTAGGGTTTAGGGTTTAGGGTTTAGGGTTTAGGGTTTTTTTGTTTGAGAGCCCTGTTCCGTCTGCTCGAGTCCGAGCTCAAGAATCCCCATTAGGGGAGAGCTGTCGGGATGTGCCGTTTGCCGCACGATCCCCATAAAAGAAACCCCTCACTTTACCATCGAAGCCACCCGCCATAAACTCAGTGTGCGATCAGCATGCTTTACTCCAAGGTTTGGGGTTTAGGGTTCAGGGTTGTCGGCCGTTAAGGTTTAGGGAGGTTTTTTTGACACTCACACTCGGACAAGCCTGGCAAGGTCCACCACGATACTGTCTTCAAGATGCATTAACAGAGACCTCTAAGCAGGTATCACTTGGAGGCTCGCTGTCAAGTAGGATAGCGAGGTTTAGGGCCAGGGAGATTTCAAGCCCTTCTATGGACCTTATCTTGTTGTGGACTTCAAAAAGATTTGTGAATCGTTTTGGGGAAGTTTAGACTCTTGGAGTTAAGATTGCCTCTTGGGTCTGGGATTTGGCGTTCAGTGCCCCAAGGGTCTACAGGGTGATGGGTGAGACCCAAACCCTCAGTATCCTTGGCCTTTGACAAGATCCTCACTGAGAGGAACAACCATGGGACTTAGTAGTATGGGTGCAAAATAAAGCGACTATATAGTCATCGAATCAACTATAAGACCAACTAGGGCACTGAAAGCATTACTTGATGAGTCCCCTGATCCTCCCTAAGACTCGTAATTTCACCAAAAACACTTAATTACACCGCCACCCCTGCCTCCCGCAAATTCCCGCCACCAAATATCCTAATGTAAGAATTAGAATGGGGTCTTAGGACCCATGATACTATAGTTATAATAAGGAGCCCCCAAAATAGTATAGGGTTTTGATGTCCTTTATAGTATCAGTATAGTAAGGAACCCCCCAAAATAGTACCGGCCCTAAACCCTAAACCCTAAACCCTGAACCCTAAACCCTAAACCCTAAACCCTGAATCCTAAACCCTAAATTACACCCTGGGAACCTCGCAGGCGATGCTGGCCAGGCAAGCGGCCGCCACAGCTGCGACGGCCGTTCTGAACTGGCTCCTGGGTTGGCCCTTAAAACCTCTGAGAAATACCTGGAAAAAGGGCCCCTTATAACCCCAAGTTGGCCTTTAAAACCTCTGAAAAATACTTATATAAAGGGCCCCTTATAAACCCCAATAAGGAAACTAAAACCTTTAAAACCTCTGAAAATACTTATATAAAGGGCCCCTTATAAACCCAAACAAGGAAAATAGAACATGTAACCAATAACCAACCTAGGCTCATGGCGCTCGGTGCGTGCGGAGGGCGCTGAAAGGCTCACTCAAGGCCGCACTTGCGCCAAGATTCAGCCGGGCCGAGACGGTTGCAGAAAAACTCGCAAGCAGGGGCGGCTATGGCACATTAGATGTTTTTATGTCGGCCCTGCACCTCCCAGAAAGAATAGCTCTAGGAGCAACCGGTGGGATTTCATGAGATTTCGGCTGCTGGGGTGCAAGAAGCTGTGACCAAGACGTCATGGGTTCACACCCGAAAAAGACCTCAACACACAAGGAGGTGTTAGTGCTCGGGCTCTCAAAAACCCCAAACCCTAAACCCCAAAACCATGAACTTAAACCCTAAACCCCTTTTTTACACAGGCTTGATTGGAGCTCGCCCGGCCAATGTCCCTCGTAAACCCGAAACCCCTAAACCCTAAACCCCTAAACCCTAAAACCCAAGCCCCAAGGAGCGAATTTGGATGCAGAGTGGCCCAGCCCTGCAGCTCGAAGAAAGTAACCACATCGGCAGTGGCACGAAGCATGTTCAACTCCGAGACATCCCAGGTGTACCTGTCCGAGGGTGGTGCCGGGGGTTGTGTAGGGTTTATGGTTGAGGGTTCCGGGATTCTTTTATTTTTTGCATAAAAACATAACACAACTCTTTAAGCTGCAGGGGGTAGTGTACTTTTTTCTTCAAACAACACGCACATCTCCCTGGGTTCAGGACATGGGCCATCTTTCGTCTTCGATGTATGTAGGGTTTACAGTGCTTATAGAGCGTAGGCCTTTTATGCGAGAATGCTGGACCCGGATTCTTCATGCTCTATGCCCCAAACTCTACACCGAAACCCTAAACCCTAAACCCTAAACCCTAAACCCTAAACCCTAAACCCTAAACCGAAAGACCCGAAATCCTCGGATCGAAGAGGCCACCGAAGAGTCTCAGTGTGTGTGGGGCCAGGCCAAGGCCTACATTACCTATAGTCTCCATTGTATTTCCTTTTTGGGTTTAGGGTTTAGGGTTTAGGGTTTAGGGTTTAGGGTTTAGGGTTTACCTTATAAAATCCTTAATATATAATTGGTTAAACCAAAAAGAGGAACTACAATGGAGACTATGGGTATAGTTGCTGCTGTCCGCGTTCATCGCAAGGCCGGGGGCCTTAATAAGGGCTCCTTATTATTAATTATAGGACAGGAAGCCCCCAAACCCTATTCTAATTATTAAGGCCCCTATATTGCCGACAAAAGTTTGGGTGTCAAGAGTCAGCTTGCTACCTTAAAGGGCGGATGTCTGATGCTTAATGACTCTCTTTGTGCGCGCAACATGCACGCGTAGCTGTGCCGGCAAGCAAGATGTATCAATGCCTGCAGACAAGACTACACTGTCCCTGGATGCCTATCTACCTTCCTTCCTGTTCATGCGTCCGTGGCATGGATGTTCTCTAACTTGTCACCATGTAGCGTACATGTGCATGCATGCATCTATCTTTGCTCCCGCGTTTCATTGTGCATCTATCTTAAACCACAGTAGCAAAAAACAAACACCGAGTCAAGTTGAGCTACCCAGACCACAGACTTGCACAAGAGTATCGCTGCTGGGGTGGCTTCGGCCGCAGCGGCTACCCTAAAAACTCTAAACCAAAACCCCAACATTAAAACTGCCTTTGAAAATCTGGCAATCGAGCCAACCGAAGTCCTCCCGACCGTGAAAGCCAACCCAAGGCTGCTCACGACCTGACACCTTGTACAACTGCTTGGCTAACCACCATGGTGATGCCGATGACGATGAATGTGATGATGATGACGAAAATGATTATGAAAATGATGGTGATGATGATAATAGTGGTGGTGAAGATGAAGAAGATGAGGATGATGGTGATGGTGATGGTAATGATGGTGGTGATGAAGAAGAACCCAAGAAGATGATGATGGTGTAATGCGGCCCTGGCGGCCGTGGCGACGCTTTTGGTGTTATTGATGTTGCTGGTGACGGCAATAAGGATCTCGATCGGCGGGTTTAACGCGGCAGTTGTCGACCCCTTCACCCTAAACCCTAAACCCTCCACCAGTGAACCTTGATCCGGCATCCGTGGAAGCTTCAGGATCGAAGCGCGCTGAAAGTCTAGACCTACATCCTGAATCCTTTCGCCTATAAACCATACTCCCGAGCTTACAAATCCTAAACACTTCCTAACCCCCGTGGCAGCCCGACGACTTAAGACCTTAAACCCTACATCCTAAACCCTAGAGCATACAGCAAGCCCAGACCACCGACACTCTAAAGCAACCCGTAGGCTGTCAAAGGAAGTCTGCTTTCGTCAGTGGCACCTGCGGCAGAGGGTGTCGCCTTCCCGGAAGTGTCCCGCCCTTTCCTCGGTCGGAGACTGTGGAAAGTTCGGGCACGGTTTTTTTCCCTCCGAGGGTTCAGGGTATAGGGTTTTAAGGGTACGTAGTCTTCGTTCAAGCAGCCTCGCAGCTTGGAGGAAGTGCGGGGCGAAGGGTTTAGCTGTGTGGAGCGTGCGGACTCAATGCCCCACGAGCTTAGCAAGGTCTGTGCCCTAGAACCGTGAATGCTCCGGTGCGAAGGTCTACAACTACTCCATGCCTAGACCCCCCTTCGACCGTCTGTGAGACCCTAAATACCGACTACTTGGGACCATCTGCCAAAATGAGAACTATTGAGGGTGGGTTTAGGAGTTGCAGCGTCCCCGCAACCCGAAACCCGAAAATCTCAACCACCAGCCCTATGCTCTAAACCCTATTCCCTATAAACCCTAAACCACCAGCCCCCTCCCCCGGGCCAGGAGTCGCATTTCCACTTCCCTCGAAAGAAGCCGTCGAGCTTTGAGTGGATCTCCCGCACCTGGGCCAGGCTACTGTACGAGTAGGGCCCTGTAGGGGTTTAGGGTTTATAGGTTTAGAGGGTTTTGTAGGGCTTATAGGGTTTACAGGGTGTTTAGGGTTTATCGGGCTTGTAGGGTTTTAAGGTTTACAGGGTGTTTAGGGTTTAGGGCTTATAGGGTTTATAGGGTTTATAGGGTTTAGGGTTTACAGGGTGTTTAGGGTTTAGGGCTTATAGGGCTTATAGGGTCTATAGAGTTTAGGGTTTAGGGTTTACAGGGTGTTTAGGGTTGATAGGGGGCTTGTAGGGTTTAAAGGGTTTACAGAGTGTTTAGGGTTTAGGGCTTATAGGGCTTCTAGGGTTTATAGGGTCTACAAGGTGTTTAGGGTTTAGGGCTTAGAGGGTTTATAAAGTTTACAGGGTGTTTAGGGTTTAGGGCTTATAGGGTTTATAGGGCTTGTAGGGCTTATTTTTCCCACCCGCCCAGCTGACAAGTCGCACCGCAGGGATTACTGTAGAGGTTCAACTTTGGAGAAAAGGTCGAATGGGCCTCCAAGAAGCATGCAGCCTCCCGAAAAAAAACAAGGACACCAGCAAGTTTACAACCGTAAAGGCAGTCTCTCCTTGTAGGGCTTATAGGCTGAAGGGTTTACGGGGCTCATAGGGTTTATAGGGTTTGGGGTTTAGGGTTGAGTCCATAAGGCTTACTGTAAGGAAGTGTTCTACGATACAGGAGGGGCCTTAAACATTTGAGGAGGGTCCGGTGTGTTGTATTCTAGTAAGACTATAACTATATTAGAGAACCCTTCCCGACCCTTAAAACAGCTGTAGCCCCAAAACTGCAGGTCAAAACCTTGTACAGGGCCGAACACTCATTAGAGTAGGAGTTCGGACCCGCATGAGCAATCTTCTGGGTTTGGGGTCCGACCCGTTTCAGATCCTGAAGCCTTCAAACACCAGAGCAGAACGGACAGATAAGGCGGACCTTCGGTGGTCTCGGTAAGATGGGGCGACTTGTCCGAAGGGGAAAGGCATAGCGGGGGCTGAGGCAATGAACGCCTGCCATCATCTTTTCGAAATTACCCTTCAACCCTTTTTGGCCGCTGCACAGCCGTGTGTACCCCAGAGAGCATGGAATCAAAAGAAAGTGAGAGGGATGAAGAGTGGGAGGATACAGCAGGGCCTTTCTCACTAGCATTTCCCAGGCGGGAACATTAGCGGAAAGTCCGAGGCCTAAGCCTAAGCCGCAAAACACTCTGAAACGCTGAACGCTTGAACACCTCCCTAAACCCTAAACCCTGAAGCACGAAAGTCCTACCAAAAACCCTGATGCAGAACAGGGACATGCTGGCCGTTCACTTCGATGTTCCCCAGCGCATTCAGAATGACTTGGAGGTATTTCCTAAGTCCACGGTCTCAATTGGTTTATGGTTTATAGGGTTTTCCCAACCGGCCCAGCTGACTATGTCGCACCGCAGGGAATAACTTCGGACTGTTGAGGTGGTGTATAAGGTTTAGGGTGTGTAGGGTTTAGGGTTTAGGGCTTCTTTATGTCTAGAGCATTACAACCATCCTCGGGGACGCTCCAGCAAACATTTCTGTGTTTCCGGACGGAGATCTGCATAGACATATGCTTGTTGACGCGTGTGTCTCTGTAGGCAGCACACATGGGGTGACGCCCTCCTTTGTGCCTTTGGGATGCAACTAACCTTAACCAGCGTAGGGTCCAACGAGGCTCTCGTATTGAACCCATGCTTAACTTAAAGCTCGCGACGACCCTAAACCCTAAACGCAACCCCTAAACCCTAAACCCTAAACCCCTATAACCCCAAAGCCCCTAAGCCCTAAGCCCCTAAACCCCCTAACCCCTAAACCCCCAAAAACACTGAAACCTAAAAGACCCTAATCGGATCAGTCTTTCTTAGTGCTTTGGCCTTGCGGATGCCTCAAATACCAGACCAGGGCCTGGTGGGCCCAACGTGACCCTCGGGTTGTCAACTTTTCGAAGGAATTTACAGGTTTACCTATAGTCTCCATTGTAGTTCCTTTTTGGGGATACCTTATAAACTCCCTAATATATAATTGGTTAAACCCAAAAACGGAGACTATAGGTAGGGGGTTTCGACTCACACACTCGCACGATGCAGGCATGGCAAAGAGAAGACGTGCCGAGCTTGCTACATGTACATGCCCAGTCACTGTCTTGGGGTTTAAGGGTTTAGGGTTGTTTACGGGTTTCGGATTTAGGGTTTCAGGGTTTAGGGTTTTTTGAGGGTTTAGGGTTTTTGGTGCAGGATTTTGTGGTTTACGGGCTTAGGAAAAGCTCATTCCCTCTCGCCCCTCGCCAGTTTCTGCGTCGCTCTACCCCACGCCGGCTAAACGGCCTAAAATAGCTACAGTAACTACTTCTCCCCCTTTAATTCCAAAACCAAGTACCCCCACCGCCCGTTTCCCCACCCTCACCCTCTCGACTACAACGGCTGGCACAGCCTAGGTTCGAATCGCCGAGCGGGTGATAATCACGCCGGAAGATCATCTGCCTGGCGCGCATTGCAGCTGAACGGTGGTCCGGCTTATCTCCAAAATGCTCACGCCGTTAAGGGATCAGGCTTGAGGGTTCAGGGGTTAGAGGGTGATAGATATCTGGGAGATAGGCACCTCGAAGCCTCACTGGGGGGAGGATCGTCCCAGCCCCCCATGGCATTTGCACCCCGCCAACAACCTCTAGTCTCAAACCCTAAGCCTAAACCCTTTTTGCATCCAGGCCTATTGCGACTGCCGGGTACCCTGAAGAAAAAGGCCTAAGCCTAAACCCGGCCCTAAACCCTACAACCCCTGAACCCACGACTGCTGCTACTACGACTACTACCACGACCGAACCCCCTCAGTAGTCAACTATGCTGGCCAGGGCTTGCACTCAGCCGGGGAAGCGTCTTATGAAATTCCGAAGTGAGCATTATACCCTAAGCCTAAACCCTATGCCCTAAACCCTATTATAAACCCTAAACCCTACACCTAACTCCTTCAAAACCCCAAAGCACTGAGCGCCCAGGCTGCTCTGAGAATCTGCCGTCGGCGCCGTAGTTCCCAGTGTTGCAGGCGACGAGACTCCAACCCTGGAAGTTTAGGGGTTCAGGGGTTTAGGGTTTAGGGTTTAGTTTAGGGTTTAGCCCTCCTTCCTAGCAAGGACGAGCCTGCAATAGAAGTTTAGGATTTTGGATTTTGGGGTTTTGTTTTCCCTGGTTTAGGGTTTAGGGCTTGGGCTTAGGTTTTGAGACTTCCTTTTTTGGGGACTGAGAGGTTTCTCAAACATTCATGGGGTTTCGGGGACTCCAGTCCTTTGAAGGGTTTCTCATTGGGTGTAGGGCCAGCATAGGGCTCAGTAGCAGGGTTTCATAAGGTTTCTTGTGCCCCTGGGTCTAAGTTTACAGGGTTCAGGGGTTACGGGTAAATCCTAAACCCTAAACCTTAAACCCTAAACCCTAAACCCTAAAAACCCTATACGGGTAAATCCTAAACCCTAAACCTTAAACCCTAAACCCTAAACCCTAAACCCTAAACCTTAAACCCTAAACCGTAAGGGCCTAGGATCCAGGACTTGAGGTTCCTAAGTGTTGCATAGGGCCCTCAGTACTGGGAGGGCCATGGGTCCGACGCCATACATAATTCCTTAATTCAAAGGGCTCATGGTTTAGGGTAGGTTTAGTTTTTAGTTTAGGGTTTAGGGTTTTTGTGTCAGGGTTTGGGTTATATACAGGGGTCATGGTTTTTTTGCCTCCTACTTAGCAAGGGTTCATGGTTTAGGGTTTAGGGCTTTTGGGTTTAGGGTTTAGTTTAGGGTAGTATACAAGGGTACCACCACGCCGGACAGTGACACTACGGCCTACCACGACAAAGCGAGATGCGAAAAGCAAGTCGCTGCGTAGAGTCTTGTGGCTTCGGGCCAGTTTCAGGCTTGCGTCTGGAGAGTTTCAGGCTGTCGGCGTTTTTGCAGTTGGCTCGTAGAAACACAAGCTCGCACGGGACCTTGGGGCAATACGAACCTGCGAAGTATATCAGAGGCAGCGAGCCTGTGCTTCTTGAACCAGCTCCGCTTCTTAGCCAACATCAAAACGGGTGATGTAAGAACCTGGGGAACAGATATCCTTGCCTTGCACTGTCTGAAAAACGTCCATGTGATGATCCTCTTGTCTAGATGATGGTCATCACATGTGTCAGCCAGTTCATAACCATGGCCATCATCGTCGACATCGCCATCTTCACAATGCAGTTGCATGTAACGTCTTGCAACCTTCCTTTTCAGCGCCGGGAGCAGTAAGATGCGAAATGTTTCCGTACCCTCAAAGTCTGTTCCCCAAGCCTCATGCGTGGTGATGACATCGCAGACATCTGTGCACCTGAGCACTACTAGCTGCCCTCCCACGGGACTGCCATAATGCCCTCACGCGACAGGCCAAGCGATTCCGGGATGCAAAGTGACGACTACGAACACTAAGTGTTCTCTCTTCTGAGATACTGTGAGATCATTTTCAACTTCACAGAGCACATACCACATGTAAAGCGACCGTCAAGTCGTAACCACAGCCTGGCTGCGACACATACGACTGAACCTTAAGCCTTAAGACTCTCAAGAAAAACAGCCATCAGGCTGGTTTCTTCTACCCCTGAGCCTTGGAATCCAAAAACCAGAGCCAAATCCCTAAACCTCTGAAACCCGAGAAAGACCCGAATCCGTAGACCTGAAAACCCGTCTGGGGTTTCGGGTAGGGGGTTTGCATCGCACTCTCATTTTCGGGCAATCTAGACGAGGGCAAGCAGTTCCGGATGAGTGCGTCCCTCGACAAGACTCTGATCGAAGCTATAGTGCATTGCAGCAATTTGGAACACGGCCTAAGTAGGAGTAGTGCTGGGAAGCCCTATGCCGTAGGGGCATGAGGATAATTATGCTCCGGCTACAACCCTAAACCCTCCCTAACACCTAACAGTCTAGACCCTTAAGATCCTAAACACCCCAAGCTCGTGTCCTTAAAGCTTCTGGCCCAGCAGCAGGAGGCCGAAGTTGCTGTCGAGGCTGCCGCCGCTCCCCTTAAAGATGCCCTCGCCGGCCTCCAAACAGAACTTCGGGACTTGGCGACGGCGCGGTTGCGAATGGATATTGTAGTATCCCTAAGGGTCCATGTACCCATATAGTATATACATTGACCCTAAAGTACCTAAATAAGAACTACATTAAGGCCAATGTATATACTTATATACTATATGAGTGCATGGACCCTTAGGGTATTTATGGTAGATTACCACTATAATGATTATTCATGTAGGGGCCTTAACAGTTAGAACAGGGTCTTGGGGTATATTCTACTATCATCACCATAAGGACCCCCCACAAAAGTATTGGTACTGATTTCGGCCCCTATATTTTACTATGATACCAGATACCTTGACCCCAAATAGCCTACCTTTTTAAGGACTCATATAAAGAATTCATAATAAGGAACCCTAACTAAAAAGGTAGGTTCTTTAGGGTTCAGGTAATTAATGGGGTTTTGGGGGGCTTGTTTGGGGTTTCGGGGCTTAGGCTCCCAGCGCCTCCGGGCAAGGCCGAGCTGGGGTTCAGGGTTTAGGGTTTAGGGTTTAGGGTTTAGGGTTTAGGGGGGCTGGGGCTTATAAACAGTTTTGGGATTTTTGTGGGCCCTTTTCCGTCTCTGCAGACGGATTAGGAATTCCTTACCAGGAGGAGCCGTTATTGGGGCCTGGAGGTTAGAAGTTTAGGGCTTTTAGGGTTTAGGGGTTTAGAGTTCAGCGTTCAAGGATTCGAGGCCTCTGGTTTGGGAGTTTACGGATTCGCGGGTTGCTTGCTACTGCCTGCCTGCGGTCATTCGAAACATGATCTCTGTGGAGCGGACGGCGGGGGATGTGATGGCGCCCTCTTTAGGGGATGGGTTACTACATGAGAAGTTTGAACCTGCTTTGGGAATCTTGAGTATGAGCTTCAGTTGAGGGTGTTTTCTGGTTGGTGTGCTGCATTCTTGGGTGTTGGAATGGGCCTCGCGGGATGAGAGCTTCTAAAGATGGGAAATATCTTAGAATACCGCATTCTAGGTTTACGGCTTACGAACACTTGGGCCATGCGGTCGAGGTTGGTAGCGTGCAAAAGCCTAGCTGGTGTCAGAGTTGAAAGGCTCATCCCCATTGTTACGTACCTTAACAAATCAAGACATATCAAGCACATGGGAGACTGGTGCTAGTAGCTAGTTTTGGGGTCGTGTAGGAATTTAAGGATTCGAGCCCTCTACGAATTGAATGACCAAACCAATGGTACAAACAGCTGGCCTCGTAGTAGCGGTCGCAAAAATCCTCATGGCCTCCGGCAGATTATAAACTCTTGAAGTCCATACTGCTTATGCGACAGCAACTCTTCTATCACTACAGTAGGACAGGCGGACACTTCTGGCAGGGGGGGGGGGGGGGGGTCTCTTGGTGCACAGGAGAATCGCCGAACCACTTGCACTGTCTGCCGCGGGCGCGCCTTCTATAAGTGACGCCTTGAAGCGATCTGCGAAGTATCCATCGAGGCTGCCCAGAATAGCATTGTTCTCCTGACGCTGCGACATGGGGTGGTGTCGAAGAGAAGATGGAGCAGAGACGAGAAGAAGGACTGGCAGCTCTCGACTTGAGTTTATGCAGCTCTCAACAGGTCTGCACTTCTAAGATTCGGCTCGCCTAGAGTCGACACTGAAGCAGCTCCCTCATTCCCACAAGCAATCAGTCGGCATCAGGAATTTTTTGCCACAGCATCCAAGAGGTATCCGCGGTTCGTCATCCCATAATAGCTGTATTAAAACTAACAAGCATGAAACTGCGTAGAGAGATACGGCAACGGCCACCAAAGGTGTCGTTGCAAGTGAGTGTAACATTGGTGCTTGTACTATCTTATAATATGTGGACTAATATAGGGGCCTTAATGATCAGAGCACAGCTTTTGCGGCATAGTATGCCAAAGGAGCAGGCCTATGATTGTTCTGTCAGTCATCATCCTCCATCCCAGTCTTTATAGTAATGGCCAACAGCCTTCTCATCAGCGAACGGCCCTTTTCAAGGAAAATTCAACCCAGATTTCTACGCCCACCACTTCCTCGTCCAGGTCCGCACAGACCTCGATGAAGCCTGCAGACCGAACCTGGGATTTGGTGCCAATCGACATAACATGGACGAGAAACCCTAAACCCCAAACCCCTTATACCCTCAGGTCACAAAGTCGCAACTATACTTGTGACCTCTGCGCCAACACTCCTACGTAAACCACACCCTGCTTTAATAAAGCTAGCGTGGCCTCCACGAGAAGATGCGGTGCCACGAGGTTCATGGGGTGAGGAGCCTGGCCGGACAGCATGTACAGGAATATGTGGATTCAGGGCTGGGAGATTATGGATGGTGGTTTGAGGGACGTTGATTTTTGCGAAGTGCTCGGGCACAGCGTTTCGGGTTCAAGAACCGAAATCGAAGTGAACGCTGCGAGCAACAAAAACTAGGGCAGGCAAGCTTCGGGATTTAGGGTCTAGGACGGCAGGGCTGTGTGGGCTGCTTCCGCATCGTGCGAACAAGGTTTGGTGAGGTAGGTCGACATTCGGAAGGCGTGAACGGTGCGGTAGTGCTCTATCTCGAGAATGTTACCTGCTACCCCATTGCAACAGGCTTTCCACTTCGCCCGATAATGCTACCCTCAACCCCTAAACCCACCCTAAACCCTAAACCCTAAATCCCTAAACCCTTAAATGCTGAACCCTAGAACCCTAGAGCTCCCACCCCTTACCCTAAAGCCTTCGGAAGCCCGCAGCACCTTTATAGGGAACCGGTGGTCAGCAAAAAACCCTAGTGTAGGGGCCTTAATAATTGGAATAAGGTTTTGGGGCCCACTGTACTACACTCAGAATAAGGAACCCCCGAAAATAGTATTGGCAATTATTCAGGCCCCTAAAGTAGGGACCTTGAAGATGAGCTGTGTCTCCCGAACGTCCTTGCTGCTGGAAGTGGGTTTGAGGCGTTTTGCCTCTAGACCAAACGGGTGTAGGGTTTAGGGTTCAGGGCTTAGGGCTTAAGGTTTAGAGGTTCAGGGTTTTTAAGGCTTTTTTGGGGGGCTTAGGGCTTCGAGTTTAGGGCTTTGTAGCGCTGGTCGGAGCTTCCAGGGTCATCTTGCCGTCTTTTGACCCTCATTGCTCTTCTCGTTTTCTTGGTTTCCTGGCACCCTACACCCTAAACCCCACACCCTAACCCCCAAACCCTGCACCATAAAGGCCCTAAAGCCTAAGCCCCCTAAAGGCCCTAAACCCGGAACCCTACACCCTAAACCCTAAAAAGGAAAATGCGGGGAGTGGCTCGTTCGTCTCCTACAAGTGCGGACCTGATTGGTATTAAGTGGGTGGTCTGGCTGATGACCCTGTACGGACCTTAAGTCGAACAGGGTTTTGGGGGTATATTCTACTATAAGAATAGTAAGCCCCCACAGCCCCCTATATTACAGCAGCTGTAATCGGGGTCAGAAGATAAACGGGGAATACCAGGAGCTTTGAGCATGGTTTGACTCGTGGGGGATCTTCGATACAGAAGCGACGGGTTGACAACCACGAGTCCTATCATCCGTGGCGACGCAAAATGAATTCAACACTGAACGCAACCTCTTCACCCAAAAAATTGAACATTAAACTCCCATGAAATCAAGGACCGGCGTCTCTGTTCTCGCCAACGTTGCCGCCATTCACCACTGCCAGTGTCCAGCTTAAGTTTCCACACATGAAGTCCTTGGAAGGGGTGGGTCTGGGATCCCTAAACCCTAAACCCCTTTTGCAACAGGCTTTCCAC